CAGCGCATGAAGTGCATGGAGCCCTCCGGGCTGGCCCAGAAGTGGAAGTTGTCACGAATGCCAGAGTAGGCCAAGTCTGATACTTCTTTGAGCTCAAACAGCTCAGCCAAGAAGAGGTAGCGCAAGCAGTTGGCACGGCGAATGGACTTAATAAGAAAGTCATTGCAGTGGATCCGGAGGCGCGGGGTGTTGAAATACTGAGCGCCCCGAAGCAGCTCCTCCACATTCTGCTCTGAGATCACCACTTTGCCGCTGTAGAAGTAGTCCAGGAGCTGGTCCACCGTGCCTGGACACAGATAGTTGGGGTCAATGGTGATGAAGAGCTCGTCGGTGGTCTTCATGTCGTTGCTGGAGATGAGACTTTTCACCAGTGGCGAGACAGCAGCCAGCACGTTGCGATGTGCGAAGAAGACGTGGTGGTCCACGGTCAGGGCCATGTCCCAGTACTCTTTGCGCTTCCTCTGTTTGTTCAAGTTTTGCAGTACGAAGCTATTGTAGTTTTTCTCTGTGAATTCCAGTTTCATGGTGCTTCTCTTTGGCTGAGATAGAGATCAGTAGCAGGTGCTGGAGGACAGACTTTTTCAGGCCTTTGGGATTTGGACAGATGGTTGTTGGCAGAGCAGCTGACCAGAGAGGAGTGGGGGTGGAAGAGAGGGTGATGTCATAGAATGGATGAGGTCATCATAATGCAGCACCTCCCCACTCCCAGACCTTTGTCAGAGGCATGGGGCCTTTCTCTCCTCAGATGGCTCCAACCTGCGGAGGCCATAGGACCTAGTTCAAGCCAGAGAGCTCTAGAGGATGCTCAGGGAATGGACCACGGTGGTTCACCTGGGGTTTTCACGCTACAATTCAAGGCTTCACCAGGAATGTCAGTGCTATTTTGGGTGGGGTAGAAGGCAGCTGCAGTGTATACTGGAGATAATGGGAGGGGAGGAGACGAGATTACCACTATCTAGAAGCCTCCCGTTTTACCCGCAAGGCTGGAGTCCTGATAAGAAAGAATGTCAGGGAGTCACAGAGGCAGTTGGAGGCAGAGCAGGCTGTGGTTAGGGCATTAATCCCCCCACCCCTTCCTTCACCTTTCCAGGAAGCCCGGATCACCCGGTTTCCACGTCCTGATTCTTAGGCCCAAAGGCCCTTTCTCTGCCAAGGTCCCTGGGCATCTGTAGTCAGGATACCATTTTTATCCAGAATGGAGAGGTGAGCGCAGAAACGGACAGCCGGCACCAGGAAGACGGGAGGGCTTGGAAACATCCTGCTCCAGATTTCCAAGTATCTAGTAAAATGCTGGGATGGTGCCTGGCCGGTTCTCGCCATCCAGGACAAGTTCGCTCGGGCCCCAGAATCCTTTTCTGTGAGATGGGAATAAATAACTGAACAGCAGTAGGCACAATGCTTAGCTTGCAGCAAACGTTCAAACAAATGCCAGCTGCTGTTTCTTAGTCATTATTACCGCCGCTAATGGGCGCTGGTGGGAGGCTGTGGGCATCCCAGCTCTCGGCGAGTTGCAGGAGCCTACTGCGGCC